ATTAATTAAAATGTACACAAAGATTAATTGAAAATAAAAATAATGAATGGATATTAAGGCCGGATAATTTCACCTATTGATCACCTATAAGTCTTAATTCAAGATTCAAGAGTCTAATGTAATGTTCAATCGAATTATTCTATTATCTTCAATTTAGCCTTCTCGAATTCTCATTGAGCATATTTAACTAATTCAATCATAAATCTCTATCGAATCAACCTTAGTTAAATGAAAAATTAGTTCTAAGAATTCATATAATGACGCAATATTTAGTATATGTATTTGTACAAGTTATACTAATGTACCAGATTTTACTATATGGTTTAAATCTCAAACTCACATATCGATTTGTAAAAGATCCACAAAATCATCAAATTAATGATCAAGTAATTTAACGCATTAAACTTATAGCAAAATCAACACGTATGATAAAATAACAAGAATTTTGAATAAAAGAAATAAATGGTCTGAGTAGATTACATTATTCGCCCTAATTATGAAATTTAGCTACTCATAATTCAAAAAGAAAAACAAGAAGTTGTTATTGTATACATCACCGGGTTTTGAATAAAGATGTAGGAAAAAGAAATTAATCTTGCACCAAGATCTTCTTCATTTTCCAATCAATGCTTCAAAACTTAAATTTATTGATATTTTTCTCCCTTAAATTGCACTCTTCAATCTCCAGTTATATTCTCTTTTTCTCAACGTGTGGAACTCCCATAAAAGTGCCAATAACTTGTATTTATATTCTTTCCCACGTTTGTGTGAATGTAGGGTTTCTTGTGGGTTCAAAATTGGGCCAAAAAAATGGACTCCATTCATCTATAGGTATCGTCAAGACGTCGCAACACCCTGTGGCACCGCGATGCCACACTTCTATCTCTCTCTCGACTCCGGCGCCACCCTTCTTTCCTTGATATTGTGATTGATCTATTTTGTCCCTTTCGTTCTTTTCTCTTTGATCCATACTAATATCCTTGTTTTTTCTCATTTCTTTCCCTGATTTGCACCATCTCACTACTTTTACAAAACAACACTAATAAACACATTAAAAACGTTCACTACTAATACTATCTAACTCATAATTAAGTTAAAAATGGAATAAAACTCGTGAGTAAAACACAATCATCAAACCGTCATCGAATTGACAAGCGCGACCAAGTTTCACGGGTTACCTTTCTTCTTAGCACAGAAAGGGACACCGTGCGGTAGTAGTCTACTCCGCTAGACTACCTTCCGCCTTCTCTCGATGGTTTTGGGACGAAAGGAAATTTGATCACAATTTAAGAAAGCTTACAACATAAAATTAAAATGCATTGAACATAACTTGGTCATTGATTGCTACAAAGTTTGAAATTACAATTGATTGAAAGCAGGAAATTACAATGGCTAGTGCTGGTGGCGAACACTAGAAAAGCTTGAAAGATGTTTGAA